GCAGGCTGCTTTTTGTATTTATTTTATGCTTGTACTATCAATTTAGTGCATTCTAACATCATCAAAATAGTAATATTTATTCTGTGTACCATAGGACATTACTATGAATCCTAGATTTTGTTATTATATGGTGTTTTTGATAGTTCTTTTGATCTGCCGTGCCTTGATTCTTACTTTTTATCATTCTGTTGTTGGCAGTGCTTACACCAGATCACTAGGTCCCATGAAGACATTCATTTCGCAGCACTTATTCGAGGTGAGAAACTGGTATTCTTATTATTTCTTGAAGAGAAAGCCTTCATGGTTTGAATTCGCTTGACTCATGCCCGACCTTGGGCTAGGGGCCAAAGTACGCATATTGGCCCTTTATAAATGTGCATGTATCTTCATTTCGAGCTCCACTCAGCACTTATTCGAGATGCAGTGTTTATTTCTTTCCAAATAAAATCTAAACAGAGTGGTTCAATAGGATAAATCATTACCATTATCGTTGTTTTAACAGATATCAAACTGAGGTCTGATTGTCTCATGAACCCAGCAGTTTGGAGCTTGGGGAGGGGCATATACAAGTATTCGGTTAGCTTTGAAACTATGATTTTAGTTGCTTATTTAAAGTTTTAGCATATATATTCTTTCGAGGCATTTTTATATGTGCCATTATCAATGTAGAAAGAATTTGAGAGTTAGCGTCTTAGCGACGATTACCCGATTCTAGCCCATTTCAATGTTGTTTCAATTTTAGACGCTACGACACTGCTATTTTTATTTCCTCCTTGAGCCATGAATCAACTGGTTGGGTTGTAGTTTTGTGTGTGTTTGTGGGGCTCAACATATGGGAACTTGTACTGCAAAATCTCTACATAATATATTAATTGTTCACTTAGCTCTCCTAAGCAATCAACTATTGCTATGGAAATTGGAACCCCGATGAGCTCTTTATCCTTCGATGTGGGATTCTTGGATTCAATTTTAATAGTTTTCAAGATTGAACTATATTAAATTTGTTAACAGATTAGTCGATAGTATTAGTTTCATTAAATTTATTAGAATATAAAAATATACATATTAATTGTTAATCTATAAAATATACGCATTAATTTTTTAAAACAAATGGGAGTTTATCACATATTTGAAATCATTAATTGAATTTATTTTATTTATACTGAAAAAAAATTCTTCGTATATTGAAGCACCGAAGAGGCTTTTGTATAATGTTACAGACCCGGTCATTTTCTCTACATGCTTTGTTTCTTCTACTTTCTTTTAGTCCTGATTTGTACCTCCTCAATGATCTTTGCTTCATTCTGCTCATTAGATTGTAAAACTACAAGTTTACGAGCTCCTAGTTTCCTTCAGTATGGACAAACAAGTCCTTAAACATCTCATTGTGATCCAATTTTACTTCTGTGCTTAAACCTTAAATTTAGTACCACCCAAAGTTACAGTTAGCATCTCAAAAAAAAAACTCTAGCTTACGATAAATAAGGTCTAGATGGTGTTGCCGTTCTCCATTGCCGAAAATGACCGTATAGAAAGTTGGAGGTCATTTCACCACGAGAAAGTTGGTTTCGGTGCTACCGTGAAAGTTGATCAATGAAACGGCGAGGACTTGCGAGTTAATCTGACATAGTCCTACTGTGTAGACACCGAAAAGTGCATGGACTGCGCCAGTATCACTCTCGTCCAACATCATCGGCGGTGGCAACAAAGACTAACAAAGAAACCTCAAAAAAGCTGGCCACCGGAAAAATAAAAAGGAAGACGAAAAAATACAATGTCAAAAATAAGCCAACCCGAGCTATGGAGTAAGGATGGTAAAAAGAACTCTCAAATGAATGGATGATTCAATTTCATAAAATTTTATACGTGTATACTTTTTTTTCCAACATTCATCAATCAATAATTAATAAACAATGAAATCATGCATATTACATATCATTTCATCATCAAACATGCATTAATACAATCAAAGTAAAATATTTTACATGTAAGGACTAAATCATAATTTTGTAATCAATATCTAAAATATTTGAAAAAGTCATTGTAAGTCTAGAAATATGTTTATATCAAATCAAATTATTAGTCTAAAAAATCTCAAAAAAATAATGTTGTAATTTTGAGTTAGTCATAAAATAACAAATTTAAGGTTTAAACTATGAACTTCAATTAATTTTATTATTTTTTTAAAACTCAGATTCTTTTATTCATCAATGTAATTAAAGTTATTAAAATTAGTGAAATTTATATATATTTAAATTAAAATCAATCTTTAATTGTATTTTTAAAATTTAAGATTAACTTGTAAAATGTATCAAATTATATAAGTATCTTCACTCAAAATTGATAGTTTCTTATATATATATATATAATAAATGGGAAATGGAAATATAGAATGGGTTCTCGAGAATCTAAATTAAAATTGAGATGCTTTCCTCCAATCTTCCATGTCCGAACTCCGAACCTTTCAATTGCAAAATAAAATGAAAATATAATATCATAATAGAACCGCTTATTCTTTTGATCCTTCTCGTCTATCTGTTACTAGGTGGGTCTGCTTTTGTTCTGCTCTTATGTAAGTCCTAATCCATCTCTCCTCCTTTACTGTCTTATTTGCTTTTTACCCAGAATTCTTCTTTGATTTTTGAGAACATATCTTCTAAAATTCCTCTTTCCCTGGCTCTTAAAGTACATAAATTTTCATGATATTGAGTAACTCCCAGATCATGACAAACGCCAGGTTCCTTTCTGGTTGCTTCGAAAACTCAAGAAATAGCTAGAATATAGCTCGAAGTTAATTCCATTATTTCCATTTTGTCTCTGGTTTAGCTGAAAGTTTTCATTTTTATTTCGGGGATTTATGTTTAGAGATACATAATTATCTCTTATCTTTATGCTTGCAAGCGGTAGGCCCTTAATTCTCGGACTATGATTTTCCCCCCCTTTTCTTCTTTTTACGCTCGTTTCAGATTGTTGGGTTCTGTTATTGAATCTGCCGCCATTTATTGATTTTTTTTATTTCATTCTTGAAAGAAGGGAAAAGGAAATCTTCCGTTGTATAACTTTTGCTTGCAATGTTTAGCTTTCGTTTTTGACCCTGCCTTTTGTTTGCCCCTTGGGTTGTAATAACATAGTGGATTCTGTTCTGTTTCCATTTCTAATTTAGTTTATATGATTGTGTAATTTAATGATCAGTCGTCTTTTTATAATCAGATTTGTTTTCAGGAAAATGTATTTTTTAATTCTAAGATGAAGAAGAACAATAAACTGCATAGAAAATGTTAATTTTAGTGGGCATTGGATAGTTGCCTGGTATTGATTGCTTTTGTCAACACATCCTTTTGAAATCGAGAGAGTTAAGAGCTATTGATGAAAGGTTTAGGGTTGAGGATACTCATGTTGGAAGTTGGAACATTAACATATCTGACTGCCTGCAAGTTTGGGTAACATAGGTGTTTGCTCACTTATGATAAATTGATTGCATGTGACATAAGCCTTGTTCAATTAGGCCAAGTTTCCTGCAGCTTTTGATACGCTTGAATGTTTTTCCCCACGAGGAAGGACATGGCTTTAATGCATCAAATCTATTTATGGCTTACAACGAACCATGAAACATCTTGATGAGTTAAAATAGTGGAAACTACATCATAGTGTCTATGGGTTACCTGTTATCCAGTTGGTTATGGTTACTATTTTGTTTTCGTTCTGCATATAATGATGCTTCTCTGTTATCCAGTGGGTTGATGCAGACTCATCTATTTTATCTCTCCTAAATTTATGGAGCTTACTTGTAATTTGAAGAAAAAGTCGTTAGTACCTGAGCATATTTTTTTCCGTTAGTAATAGACATTTTTGGTGATTGTGTGATATCACAAGTTTCTAGAAAATTTTGAGTTTCTGTGAACTTATGTTTGTCTCAATGTGCTTATCTTTTCATTGGACAATGCACTATTCCTTGTTCATGTTTTATGGAGGTTTTTATGGAAATCTGGGGTAGTTGCATGTCTGTTTGTCGTTAAATATCCTTTGCGAACACACAAATTTTGGTCATGAGTGTCACCTTCTTGAGCATATATTTTATTATTTATGTACTTGCAACTATTCCTGCACATATTTTGCAATGTTTGGTTATTATGGCTGGATAAGAAATTTTAATTCAGCAAGATTCATGTTAATTTGTTTTCTGATCATTTCATTGGATATATATTGTTTCCAATGATCTGCAGATATCCTAGTTTGCACAAAAAGGTCTTGGAGTTTCAGTTTCTCAGTTGATCTTCAATGGGGACGCAGAAAATGCCCTTCAACCTTCAAAGAAGAGGCCTGCTGGAAGAGAAATTTCTCGTAATAATCCTGGTCTCGATGACGAGGAAGATTCTACTGAACAAGAGAATGGAACTTTTAAGAGGGCCAGTGATGAAGTCTTGGCAAACAGAAGAATAGTCAAAGTTCGCAAAAATCAAACCACATCAGCTGCCTCATCAAATCCCTTTTCTGGGATCTGCTTGGTCCCCCCTGCAGGACCAACCATTACTCCTGCTGCACCTAATGGAGCCCTTGAATCCAGAGCAACAACTGCCAAGGTTAGCACTGAAGTAGCAATTGTCGATGAGAAAGAAGCTTCAGAAGATGGGCAAAATGATGTTAACAAATCTGGAAAGATTGAAGAGGGAAATAATCAGCAGTCAGAGAAAACTGATGAAAAGGATCATGGCTCTGCAAGGAGTGACATTGAGAATGTTGAACAGTCCAAAAGCAAGGAAGAACAGGTTTCCAGAGATGTTGCTGATAAGGGAAGTACTGAGGATAAGGGCGGTGCTGTTGTAAATGAAGAAACTCAAGAGGAGGCCAATGATGAAAACCGGCTGGAGATGTTAAGACCAAGGATGAAGATAAGAAAGATGACGATTCTGTAAATGCAGACAACAAAGAAGAGAGTAGTAAAAATGCAGATGCAAAAGGAGCATCATTGAGTTCATTCCAACAGCTTTCAAGTAGCCAGAATGCCTTCACGGGACTTGCTGGCATTGGATTTTCAACTTCTTCATTCTCCTTTGGACCTACTTCAAAGGATGGTTCTACTAGTTCTGTTCCACTCTTGGACTGAAAATGGCCAGCCTTTTGGTTTTGGTCTTTCAACAAACGGAAACTCCTCTTCCCTCTTAAATTCATCTGGGAGTTCAGTTGTTTCAAAGATAGAGGGAAGTGGTTTTCAAGTCATGCCAGAGGTTCCAGTCGAGACGGGAGAAGAGAATGAGAAAGTGGTATTCTCAGCTGAATCTGTGCTGTTCGAGTTCATAGATGGGGCGTGGAAAGAGCGTGGTAAGGGGGAACTTAAGGTGAATGTGTCTACAGCCGGGACGGAAGGAGCCAGGGTACTCATGAGAGCTAGAGGAAATTACAGATTGATTCTAAACGCAAGGCTCTATCCAGATATGAAGCTAACAAATATGGACAAGAGAGGTATCACTTTTGCCTGCATGAATAGTACAGGTGAAGAAAAAGAAGGGCTATCTACATTTGCATTGAAGTTCAAGGATGCTTCCATAGTTGAAGAGTTTCGTGTGGCGGTTACAGCACACAAAGGCAACACAGCTGCTGTTCTGAAGACACCCGAAAATTCTCCTAAAGCCTCAGAAGATTGAAAGGTGTATCTCCCGAACTCACAATGCCGTAGTCATTTTCCTTTATGGAAGAAAGGATCATATCTTGGGTATTGCTACTGATTCTAAAGCTCTTATATGTAACAGAGTCAGCAAGATCACCCCAGTCTTTATTCGTGCGAGAGAAACGATGAATGTTTGAACTCTCTTCGCCCTGTTTTCGTGTCAATCCTGGAGTTAAGCATGACCCGAGGTACACAACATTTGACTGTTTTTAAAGGCAGCTGTGCCTTTCATCTGGGATGAATATGTAGAATTTCAGTACCATGTATTTCATATGTACCTGATGGGTTTATTATTGGTAATAGCTCCTCTGAGTACCAAAAACAAACCTAGTTGCGATATCTCTTTTGGACAATAGCTATGTACTGTAATACTACTATTTTGATCATGGGTTCTATCTTTTTTTTTCTTCAATTTTTAACTTGCTTTACAATTATTGCGTATTTTGAGTTGTACTTTTGTCTAATCGTATTTTACCACCGCGTGGCCCAGTTGGCAAAATAAAAACTCTTGGGATTATGAGTTGGTCTCATGTCCTTCGAACTGCGCTGGTTGGGATTCCTGGAAGAAAGCGGGGACAGAGTGGTGGGTTCTTTGAGCCCCTCCGGAGGTTGCTTTGTAGGATCGGATCGATTAGTCTGGCCTTGGGAGGTCCTACGTTATCAAAAAAAAATAATATTTTAATTTTTTTTATTCATTTAAGGAAATAATTTTACGTTTCGTCATATATTTGCTACTGTGGATATCCTCACTAATTGATTCGTCGGTCTTTTATATAATTTTCGTTTATTAATTTTATTTGGTAATATACAATTACTTTTTATATTACCCGATATGCATTTGAATGGCATGTGTATTTAATTGTATAATTTTATATGGGTTTATTTTAATTATTGGGTTAAAATTTCGTTAATTAAATTATTTGATTTTTTAAATGATATTAATTAAATTAATATTATTTATTATTTATATATTTTATTAATTTGATCTTAATTTTAAGATTTAATGATATATAAGACTTTTATTTTTTTTTAAATATTAGTGTGATATTTTTTTTTGCATTTAATATAATCTTTAAATTAGAAGAAAAAAATTGAATTTGATATTTTGACTAATAGAATTAAACGTTGATTATTATGATGATGTGGTGGTAATTCACCATGCTAATGTAGCAGTTTATAGCATTGACGTGATAATATGTTGAATTATTGTTTTCTGTAATTTTAGGATCTCGAGTTTATTGATTATGACTGTTCAAATAAGGGATTTAGGCTCAATTGATTTAAAATTATTTTACAAGGACCCTTTTAGTATTTAAACCCAAAGGAGTTATAAAGATTCACCCTTCATACATACATTCATATGATCTCACAGCTGCATCAGAATCGAATTCATGAATATCCTAAAATACCCTTATACTTTCCACGTAATCCCCAAGCCCAAATACTAAAACAAAGTTAAAGCCGTATCTCATCACTCTGCAATCTCCAATTCAATTTTATCCAAAAAGCTCTTTCTTCCTAAAAACCGCATCTTCCCTAGATCCTATCCTATGAAAAATATAAATTAAGAAATAATCTTTTTTTTTCTTTCGATTTCAAGGCTCCTAGGGTTCTGATCCTCTTCGAGTTTTTAGGCGATTGGTTTTTGTATGTGTTTTTTTTTGCTTCGTGATAATTCCTTTTTGAAGTTTTAGCGGCTTTGATTCTACGAGGAAGTGATGGCTACAGCGGGAGAAGAAGAGATGGAGTACGAGAGTGATCCAGAGGAGATGAAGCGTTCGCTTGCGATGCGGAGGAGAAAGGCGGCGAGTGACGATGAGGAAGGCGAGAGGAAGTGGATGATAATAATAATCGTAATGCGGCGAGGATGGATCGGAGGGTTGTGGTTCACTCCGATGAATCCGATGGTCTGGTTGGTGCTGCTGATTATTATGATGAGGAAGAAGAATTTTATGATGAAGAAGAGGAAGAGGATATCGATGAGGAGCAGATAGAAGAAGTAATAAGAGGGGAAGTGGAGAGAACTGGAGGAGAAACAGTGGTGGATGATGGGAATAGCAATGTGGCTGAGAGAGTGGAGATTAGTAATAGTAATAATCATGAAGGAGAGGAAGATGGAGAAGGAAAGAAGGAGAATGAGCCATTTGCTGTGCCAACTACTGGGTCGTTTTATATGCACGATGATAGGTTTCGAGACAATGTTGGCGGTCGTCATAGGTATTCAGTTTTTTTTTTTGTTTTCTTTGCTTTTCTAGGTGTAAATTGCTATGCCAATTCATAATGGTTGTAGATATTTGAGGATTAATTAGAAATTTATAGAGAAGCACATGGTGCATTTCTTTAGGACGTTTTGCGTATACCTATTTTACACGTAATGGTTGAAACTGTAATGCACACTTGCCGCACCATCACCATGTACTTCACTTTGCAGACAGTAGAAGCCATATATACTTCTTTTATATGTACTTTTAAGCGGGTCCATTTAGACAACAAATGTGCTCATCAGGTTTTTGACGTCTATGATGCCCATGTTCCATATGCAACTGTTTTTTGCTTTGTTATCTTGAACCTTTAATTATTCCGTGATTTGTTGCGTACAAGGAAATATAAGGTTGTAATGAGCATGAGAGCTTAGCTTGCTTACTCTTCTAGCCATTTATGACTGATGATAAATTTACGTAATTTTAGCAGTTGGGCTTAGGGTGAGGTGTGACAACATGAAATGTAATAATACTCTAGGTTAATGTTAACTACAAGACCTACATCCCAGATATTTTCCTGTTCATTTTAAGTCCTTAAAAACTACCTGATTTTATCCAGGCATGAGCTAGTTGTCAGGACCTTTACTGTAAACCACTGAATGGCCCAATGTCAGAGCAGTTGTAATCTGATTACTACACCTTGACTTTGTTTGCTTATGAGTAGGGAAAAGTAACTTTTAATTCTTAACATGCTTTTCATCTATAGTGTAAATACCGTGACAACTATGCAAAATTCTAACAGCATTAGGCTTTTATAGTTCCAAATATTCCTTATTTTCTAATGCATTTATCATTGTTATATGGGCATTTGCATGCTTAAAGACTAATTATGATATAGTCTTCTGCACATATTTTGTAAAGATTGGCCTTCTTATCCAATTCTTGACGCATCTATTGGACTGTTGATCTAATAACCTATCATTTTCACTATGGTTGCTTAATATTGGTTCAGATTTACTCTCTTATGGGTTCTCCTTCCTTTTCCATTCAAGCTATATAAATGTCCTGAATTGTGTATTAATCTGTTCTGTGCGTTTTAGACAAATGCGTGGTGTAAGGAATTTGTGGGAAACCAAAGATGATAGGAAATGGGGACATGACAAGTTTGAGGAGATGACTTTGCAAGAAAAGCAGTATGAAGTTGTAAGGGTTTTGTTTAGTGTTTCTTTTCTTAATCTCATTTGATCTTTTTCTTTTCCCTACTGATATGTTTTGTTTTCCGCGTTCAGGGAAGATCTTCTGGAGGTAGATATCGCGCTCGTAGTAAAAATCGGGTTCCAGATCATGGTTATCCTAGGGAAAGTAGGCCCAGATCATTTGGGAAAACTACAATCAGAATCAGGCTCCTAAGGCTGTGAGAGGAGAGGATCTAGGAGATATGATCTTCTATGAAAAAAAGCAGTCAAGCACCTCCAGCTGAACAAACCGTGAGTATTAATATGCATCCTTTTTTTCAGTTTTCTAATCTTCCTACCAGGATTAAGTTCGCATGACATTGAATGATTTAAATAATTCAGTTCTGGGAAGACTGTTGAGAAAACTTCACAAGCCAATTCAAGCAGAGCTTTCACACCTGCAACAAATGCAAACACTGTATCAAATCCTGCTAAGAAACATATTTTTGCATCAAGCTTGAGTTCAGCTTCCCCACCCTTTTATCCATCAGGGTCTTCCAAGAAAGACATTTCTTTTCAGAAGAAGGATGTTCAAGCTGGAAGTGTCAGCAGGGATCTTCACCAGTCTGTTACAAATGAGAATTTTTCTGTATATCAATCCAATTCGTTACAAGGGAAGAATGCACTTGATTCTCTCAGCTTGGCAAAGCTTTATATAGATGATTCCACCACATCAGCTTCCGTGAAGCCTTTGACCAACATGCAAATGCCACCTTCTGGATCTTCATTGGATAATACTAGGGTACAGGGTAGAGGCATAACTATCCCAGGACCAAAAGCTTATCAGCCAATACCACAGCACAACCAAGTCAACAGAGTTTCTCCACCAGCACAGGTCAATGCTGTTCAGAGAATTCCTGTCCAAGGCAGGGCTTACTTTTCTGTTCAAGCAGCTACTCAGCAATTGGGCCAGCATCCTGGTATTGGGTCTCGAGCTTCATCTCCGCCAGAAACAGCTATGTCAGTCAGTTCCTATGAATCTGGAGAGGTTGAATCTTCAGAAAAAGTAACCTGAGGGTGCATTGGCGAGCAAGGGAAAAAACAGTCTTCAAGGAGCTGGAAGGGGCTCTTATCTTTGGTGGAGCTCAGATTATTGGAACTACAGGGAATATGTCTATAAACCATGGTGATCAAAATTTTCCTGCCTTTTTGCCAGGTAAAGCATTTCATTTTTTAACCTTCAGTTTGTCTGGATAACATAATCAACCATAGAAGGTAAAATGTGAAATGGGGAAAATTGCCTTACCTGGAGTGGTGCATGTTAATTCCTTGGTCCCAAACATTTTTTTTGAAATTTTGTATGAATTAAATCAAATATTTTAGTAAATATCAGAGGTAGTTTTTATCTGAATATTTTAATGGCCTTATGGTTAAGAACAAATGGTTCCTTGAATGTTGTTTTGAATAGGTATATGCTTTTTCTGGGGTGGTTTGAGGTTGGAGTTTGAGTATATTCGTATCTGAAATTGATACTATGTGGTGTTTGGGAATAGCTTTTATCTACTTAGTTGCTTAGATTTATTTATATTATTCAATGTTTA